GGATATTGTCCTCTATGGAAGCAGCTGCCTGTACTATAGTTTCCATATTCTCACAATGGTATATGATGACTTGTTGGAGATTCACAAGGAGCCTGTAAATTTCATAGGGGCATAGATATTTAAGATTGTCACAATATCCAATTGTTAAACATCTTAAATTTTGAAACCCATGGAATCCAAGTTGAACGTTCTTCCACAAATGTTCAACCGTTAAACGTTCTACCAACAATGTTTGAAATTGAGAAAATGCTGAGACATGCCCTTCTAAATCAAATAGCGCATTGGCTACTGGTTCATTGTTCAAACGCTCCAATGCAAGTTCCTCTAGATTTGTTAACCATGAAATGCAATTTGAAGGAAATAGTGCAGTACAACTTGCTCCCACTTGTGCTACTTTTGATTTGGATGAAGGCCCAGCCACTTGATCATGTTGTTGGTCATTCTTAGTCTCTTTCATCTTGTCCAAATGAGAGGCGTTCACACTTTCATCATTTGGCTTTATGACCTGTACAATAATTAATTCTAGATATGTAATGAACTTACACATGAGCATAATTAAAGAAATACAAAAAATAAATTTTAGTATTTTCTTGAATGAAGTGGTCAAATATGCCTTTTCAGAGATAATTTTTTTATTGAATATCTATAAAATAGACTGTTTGGATTAGTGAAATACAATGTAAAGCCCACCATGCTTTGCAAGGATGATCTATGAAAGATGAGACAAGGTTGAGAACATAAAAATCTCTACCATTAAACTATATTTATTGCATATGCAGGCAAACTTAACTATTATTCTAAATTTTGTATTTAGAAATTATAACGTAAAAAATCAGTACTCGTCATAAATTAGTTGCAAAAATTTGAAACGTATATAAAATCTCCAATACACCAAAAATTGATTAAGTTCAACCCAAGAACTGGAATGACAGTATCAAGTTTGTTTAACTAACATATTTTTAGAAACATATATACCTCAGAGGTGGAGTTGCGTTGGTTGCCTGTGTAGAAACCAAGGAGCTTCGGTGAATTTCTAATCTTCAAAACCATTAATGCTGGCAAAGTTATGATGTGAGATGCATTATCATCTTCCATTCTCTCCTTTGATATGATCTCTTCCACTTTCAAACAGCAATCAACACTTAAGCTTTGGAGTTGTACCAAGTTTTGTGCTACGGATAGTGAAAAGACATATTTTAACTCATGACAATAGCCAATTTCAATGGATCTTAGGTTCATAAAGGAGTACTTGTCTGGAAGTTTGCCATGACATACAACTTTTAGTTTGTCTACTCTCGAGAAGGTGGCTGACTTTAAGATGGGGAAGGCAGGTTGATGACGACGAGTCCAATCTGTTCCATTCATAAGATACTCTATGTCGTTGTCATAGCATATTGATAAAACTTGCAAGTGTTGAAAGCCTCCTTGATCATCTAACTCCTCGATGACATACTTTAAATTGCATGTGCTGTGTAGGCTTAAGTCTTCAGATTGCTTCAAAAGGTATCTAACTGGTCCAATCTCCATATATTCTGTTACGTCACCATAAAGCATCAAACTATTTTCAAATAGATAACCAGGCATTCTGTCATAGAGCTCCATTGTCCAATTTTCTTGTGACCGTTTTCGTCTAGCATTGATAGATACATGAAATCTTATATGCTGGTTCTTTAAGAGAAACCCATTCTGCAACATCTGACCATCAGGTATATTTATGGCTAAGACTTTTAAATGAACAGATAGAGACGTCACCTCATCGAGGCTTGCCATGCTCGTTTCATCCTTGTTTCCCATTGTTGGCCCCCAATTGAGAAAGCTTTCTGCCATGTACAACTCTTCTAATCTCCTCAAGTTGGATAAGACACCGTGAGGAATTTCTTCAAGTCCATCACAATCTGTTGCATCCAATATCCTTAACTTATGAAGATGTCCTATTTCTCTAGGCAACTTATTGATTTGAGAGCGGGCAAAGCTGAGGATCTCCAAATTCTCCAATCCTCCAATAACATGGGATATGTCTCCCAAATTGCAATCCTCTAGACACAAGGTATGAAGGTACTTGGGTTCTCCAAGCAGTAGAGATTTTTCCGAGGCCAAATAGCTTGACATATTCACCTCTAAGAAAGATAAAACCTTGAGTTCTTTCATTCTTTTAAAGTGGTTGGAATATTCTGAACTACTTGAGGAATTTTTCAGTTGCAGAAGCTCAAGTTTGGGGCACTCCAAACCATCAGTAATATTTTCATCCAATTTAACATCAATTAATGAAATTGCACTGCAATGTTCTTGGTTTGTTGCTTTTTGTACTCCCGGCCATCCTCCACCTCCACCTTCTGCATCGAATGATCTTACCATAAATCTGTGAGGATCTTTTGAGGTAATTGATATAGCAACATCACGAACTATATCATGCATTTTGATACATTCTTCCTTTTCACTATCCAGCAACAAAAACCTTCTTTTTAGTTGTCCAACGAAAAAGTGCACTCTCTTTCTTGCTTTTTCAATCGTATTGACGTTTTCAAAAATTGCTCGACCCAACCCATACCTCACCATATACTCAATCGGAACATCATAATCTTCTGGAAATAAGCAACAAAGTAAAAAGCATGACTTGACTTCATCACTGTCCAATTTATCGTAACTTAGTTTTATGCAAGAATAAACACTGTGTTCCATTCCAGGGATGATTTCTGGGAGAGAATTTTTCAGTTGGTCACGGATAGTATCCCATTCATTCTTGTCAATTGAGACTAGTGTTTTCCCGATGGTTATGATGGCAATGGGTAAACCTTTGCATTCATCTGCAATCATTTTTGCAACATGAAGCAAATGAGGATTATTATTGTCCAAGGATTCACCTACAGTCGCCTTGAAAAGCTCCCATGCTTCTTCTTTATTTAAGGCTTGGACTCTAAAAATGTTGTCTTTGCACCCCATTGTTTTACAAACTTCTTCATTTCGAGATGTCAACAAAATTTTGCACCCTTCATGAACTTGATTAGTTGTAGGTCCAACACCAACAGGGATTCCTACATCCTTTAATTTAAGCTCTGACCATACATCATCCAATATAATCAGGATTTTCTCCTGCTTGATTCTCTCATGTAGCCTTTCTGCTCTTATAGATTGACTTTCCTCGATGAATTTCATGCCTAATGATTCTGCAATTTCAGTTTGAATTGTCTTAATGTTTATAGTTGCGGATACAGTTGCCAGCACAACCTCATCAAATAGCTTATTCGTTCCTTCTAATCTCTTGATGATTTCTCTGATTTCTCTCACCATTGTGGTTTTACCCACACCTCCCATCCCGCATATCCCAATTATTCTTGACTTTTCATTCCTCAAAGCTATAAGCACATCATTCATGACTGCTTTTCTGGATTCAAAATGCTGAAAATCGTCACTAGAGATTATTGACCCTAGCTGTTGCAGAGGTGAAGGATTGGCAACATTTTTACTCAGTTCTTGGTCTAGTTTGAGATCAAGTACAGCCAGAGCAATCTTCTTGGCTTTCCTACTCAGAGAATACCGCGATTTCAAACTTGGGTACCACGTTTGCACGTTGAGTTTGGTTTGAAGTTCTTCCGCTTCATGAAATATATTGCTTACATCCTCCAGCCAACTCCGAACTTGATCTTTGATGGTTGCACCATTCCTTTTTGCAGCATCCACAGATCTTTGAACATCATTTTTCTTGTCATCAAGCTTTTTAAGTGCATCCTTCAGACTTTCTATGTTGGAATCATAGTAAATTAGATAGCTGAGTTGTCTCCCAATTAGTGCCACTGGTTCTTCTACAATTTTAGATGCAATTGAAGTAACAATCTCCTCCATTTTCTGTTGCCTTTTTATATAAAGCCGGCAGAGACTAAGGAAATTCTCAAACCAAATGAAACTGTTGCAAGCGATTCCACACCTACAATTTTTATTATGAAAAAGTAAGGTAAACCAACCAAAACCTCACCAATCAAGTCTCATAACATTAAAAAAAATGCATTGTCATAGTTACAAGAACAAACAGTACACTCTGCACAATTTTGGGTCGAATTCCAACTCATTATTTATAGATACTAGTCATTGATTTTATTGTTATCATTTTAGCTCAATTTTAAAATGTACAATCACTATGGCTCTAAATCGAATCGATGTAGTTTGAGTTGGACTCATGTTCAGCTAGTTTTTTGATCGTTGAAGCTCAGTTGGTAAAAGAAACGAGCATAGTTGGAATAAAAGATAAGGCTTGTTAAGGTGACCCGAGATTGAGCTTTGGTGTACCCAGCTCACAAAGGTCATTAGAAACTCACATCTTTTTATAAGATATTGTTTCAGGTTGTTTCATGGATGGTGATTTGGTTTCATTAGATTTGAAACTAAGTGTTTCTAGATATGCAACTAAACTTTAGTTTCTACGTCAATCACAGCAAGTTTGAAACGATGATTATGAGCGTCGAGAGTGAGCTGGCTTTCTGGGATTTGGTTTCATTAGATTTGAAACTAAGTGTTTCTAGATATGCAACTAAACTTTAGTTTCTACGTCAATCACAGCAAGTTTGAAACGATGATTATGAGCGTCGAGAGTGAGCTGGCTTTCTGGGATTTGGTTTCATTAGGATTTTTATTTTTATTTTTGTTTGATTTTTAGTCTTTATTTTGACCTTTGAATTATAGTTAACACCATTAGATTTGGAGAGAGATTTGGAGAGAGAGAGAGACTAACAAAAGGGGTGTGATTGTAGTAAATGAAATATGTGGGATCTGACTCTAATTATACCAAACTTCCGGGAGTCTAAGTGAAATCCTCCCCTTGTTAAAATGACCCAAGCTTGAGATTTGGTGTGCCCAGCTGACAAATCTCGTTAGCAGCTCACATCTCTTTATGAAATAGCGTTTGCTTCATTCAAGTTTGGTCATAAACGTTAGGCTTTACGATCTTATAATTAAATGCAAAAATGTTCATTGATTTTTTTTTTCCTCATAAGGACGATCAATCTTTTAGGTTTATACTCTACTAGCCCGTTGTTACATGCTCACGCATGGGCCAATTGGTTTTCTTTTTTCTTTTTTCTTTTCTTTTTAGAATTAAGAAAAGATAACATGAGTAGTTATATTCCATAAAAGTATGACATATATCTGATTTTGTTTTCTATTTTATTTTTTTAATATGAAAAAATGTGAATTTACCATATTATCTTCATTTAAATAATAATTTGAATTCTTAATGTTTGAATTAACCAATGGCATTTTCTAATATTTCGAATGTTTCACCATTCTTTGACATTTGCTTTATATATATAGATTATCATTCTTATTTGCATTTGGTTTACTTTTTAATATTTCATAAACTCGGGCTAAACTTGAGTTTAAGAGCATCCACAATCATGCTCAATATTTTTTTAATTAAAATTTAGCTAAAAATGCTAGAAAATTATTTTAGGAGTTCTCTACCAAATTTCAAGTCCAACCATACTCCCTAATTTAAAGAGAAATAAATAATATTAATATTTTTTAATTCAATTTTTGAATAGAGTGCAAACACAGAAGCAACAACAAAAAATAGTTGACATTAAATAAATGGTTAAAATACTATTAAAATAAAGGAGCATTAAATTATAGGGAGTCACTAGAAGTTATCTCTCTCTCTCTCTCTCTCCTTAAATTTAAGATCTCCTAGAGGTCTCCCTATTTTTCAACTCTTCCGTAAAATTTGTCTAAAGAGGTGTTTTAAAAAGTCCATTGTAGATGTTCTAACCTCCCTTGAAAAATGAGTTCAGTTGAGCTAACCATAAACACTCAATCAATAGATGCTTAGTCAAGCCCAACTCATAGGGCCACCTATAATATTGTTCCACTATATATTGTGTGGGAAGTATCCCATAAAACCTAATCATTTTATGTAATAATTTATGGATATTACCTGTATTTACTTAGAGCATCCACAATGGGCTCCCTAAACTATCTTTTCGGACAAATTTTTGGGAGGAATTGGAAAAATACAACTCCAACCAAGCTCCTTATCCACCTCCTAAAATATGGAGACCTCTAGGAGTTCCTAAATCTAAAGAGAGAGAAAAGACTCTTAGTGACTCCCTATAATTTAATACCGCTTTGTTTTATGCATATTTTAAACTTTTAATTAATACTAATTATTTTTATATTTTCTTTTATAGAGATTGACCAATTATATTGAATCAAAAATATTTATAGTATTTATGACTCCCTAAACTAAGGAGTATGATTGGAGTTCAAATTTTATAGAGAGCTCCTAAAATAGCTTTTGTGTGTTTTTAGCTATATGTTAACTAAAAAATAAAGAGCATGATTGTAGATGCTCTTATAAATTAAATTAAATTAATGACGAGACACTAAGAAAAGTATGCATGTGCTCGATGGACGGTGAATTTACTAAATGCGATCAATCAATAGTTATTTTGTGGAAGTTGTACTTATATGTCAAACAAGAATACTGGTACTTAAATCTTAGACACCCTATTTGTCTTATAAGTAGATTGTGTATTATTGGGTTTGCGATTAATCCATACAAGTATGTGTGTGTACAATAAGGCCCAGGCAAAGCAACCTAAAGGCCCCAAGGGTCAGCTCACTTGATTGTTTTTAAAGAAGAATTTAAAAATAAGAAAAACTATTTTTAAAAAAAATCAAATGTTCTTTGTAGTAGATCAGCTTCACAGTGGTTTCAAAGAATTTGGGTGCAGTTTCTGTATAGTTTATGCCAGTTTTTGTCATCAATAGTTATGGCAACCCTTTTATATCGCTTTGTTGTCAAAGAAAGTGATTTTTATCAAAGTAATCAATGTCAAATGAGCACTATTTGATTTCTCCCTCATAGGAAAAAAAACAAAATACAAAAATACAAAAGTCAACTGGCCAGCGCATAAGTCCATGCCAAGAGGTAGTTGGTAATTGAAATTTAAAATGTCTCAGAAAAACAAACCTGGAGTAAGCGGCAAATTAGCACTATCCGCAATCCGAATGCTCAGTATACCACTAACGCCATACAACAACAACTACCTACGAAGACTGGAGAAATAAAGCCAGAAATAAAGATCGATGTATATATATTTGTGTTGTAAGATGAGAGAAATAGAACAAGCAAAATAAGAAAAGCAATGGAACTGAAGAAAGTAAACAAACAGGCCCTTAATCCCCAAAATAAAGAAAAAATATTACAAAAGTTACGAACAAGAGTTTTCCTAATAAAGTGTAAAGGAACCACTCGTGTTCTGCTCACCCAACAAAAGTAAATAAATAGTAAAGAAAATAAAGAAAAACTAAAGTGTTAATTAGGCAATCACAAACATTGCAGTTTTTGCACACAACAATATATACTATGTCATACATACACAAAAATACATGTCCGGGAGTGGATCCTCCTATCTGGAATCCAAAGATGATGTCTCACTTGCATTCTGCACCTTTGAACTCAAATTGTTCTTGCTTGGGCAACTGATTCCTAGTCGAACATTTCAAAAATGTTTCTATAAATCCTTATTTGCAATTTAGTCATTATAACTAGGGGTGGCAATTTCGGGCACGACCCGTTACACGACTCGAAACTTGCACAAGAATTTAGCGAGTCCAACCCGCACGATTAAAATTTGGGTCATTTTCGTGTCAACCCGCTATGACTCATTTAATAAACAGGTGAGTTTTGGGTCAACCTATCAATCCACTAAAATACCTATATAACCCGTTTAACAAAACGGGTCATGGTGGGTCAACCCGCCAACTCGCTAAAATACTTATGTAACCCACCAACCCTCTATAAAACCCATGTAACCGCCAACCCACTAACCCATTTATTTGTTTATTCTTCATTTTTCTATTATTTTTTTTTAAGTTTTTAAGTTGCTACCACTTAGCAAGTCAATCCAACACGACCCGAAACCCGCACGAGAACTTAACAGGTCAACCCATGCATGACACGTTTCTTAAACGGGTCGGGTTTGGGTTGAGCATTCCTGACACGTATATAATCTTGACACAATACGAACTCGACACGACACAATTCATTGCCAGCCCTAATTATAACTAGCTACACTTGTCAATAATTTCACTTTTGTCCTTATACTTTCCTTTATTTTCACTGTGGCCCCTATACTTTTTCCAATACATTTCGGTCTTCAGACTTATCCATAATTTACTTTGGTCCTTACATTTTCCTTTATTTGCACTTTGGCACTTATACTTATTTAAATTATCTTTTGGTCCTTCCACTTTCAAAACCGGCTTGGGCCAACAACTCAGACACAAATTTCCAGAAATCGAAGCATCTTAAAACTTTACCTTAATATTGGTCCGAAATCCTGGGTGAAGCTGCCAAAGAGAAATAACCAACTCAAACAACACTTGAAAACTAACAAAAGCTTGTTTCAGGTGTACCACTGCCGAAAAGACTTCTGAACAACCTTCATGAAGGAAGTATTGTCATCTGAGCAAGGCAAAAGTGACATACAAGAGTGAATAAGGTACTGTACAGTAATAACAGCAGAATCCGAGGAAGTGACGAACATGCTTACCACAGACATAGCTAGAGTAGTTGGATTGCTCTGATTTTTGGATATGTCATAGTTGTCAACTGAGGAACAACCTTAGAGAAGGAAATTTTGTCAAACGAGCACCGGAGATTAAAGAAAACTGATGAAAACTGAGCGGCACAAAACTCACCAGCCATGGATGAACACAGAAATTTCATAGCCGGTTCGAGGTAGCTAGACCCGTCTGATGATGCTCATGTTTGGGTATGATATAGTATTCGAACAGACGAACAACTTTGATGAAGAAAGTTTGCTGATTTGAGCTTTCGAAATCAGACTTCTAGAGTGATGAATAATACCCACGAGTTTGGGTTTTCTGAAGAAGAAGATGAACGTTGACCCAAAAAGGAGGAAAAAGGAACAAAAGAAGAATAAAACAAAGAAAGTGTCGGCAGCCTTACCCAAAATTTTGAAAAAAGTGTGGCCAGCCCGCGTGTGAACAGTACCCACTAGTTGAATGATGGTTACAACAGAGAAAGTCACATGTATTTTTCGCAACTTTTCCCCAAGATGGAGATAAAGATGAAGTTATGAGTGAACAAAACTTTTCACCTCTGCATTTTCCTCATTCTCCAAGCTCTAAAGATGAAGTTATGGTTACAACAGAGATAAAGATGAAGTCACATGTAGTTTCCGTAATTCTCCAAGCTCTATAAAATTTGTAAGTTGCTTTGAAATCTTAGAAGGGCTCAACAAGGAACGGTATTGCATCATCTTTGCTAATATTAGCTTCAATGAAGTTATAGACGAAAGCAGAGCATGCTTGATGAAACAAGCTACCTTGTGAAAGAACAAAAAGAATACTAGATTGAAAGGAGAAAAGAGAAACTCATCCTTCGGAACTGTAAATTCAATAAGATTTATTTTTAATGTTACCAAAAAAACAATAAAGAACTTTTTCTTGGGAAATAAGCTGGTATAATCACAAATCCCCTCTCTCTTTGTAATACAAACGTTTTAGTTGTGGGAGGAGCCTAGTAATGCAAAATGCCCTAAAGGCCCATTCTGTGTTAAGATTGTAGGAAAAAGTTGGGTTCTTTAGACTTATTAATTTGGAGATAGGTGATGGTACGGAAAGGCTATAATGAGGGCTTAAAGTGAGGAGGTTATTTGAGGAGGTCAAATCTCACTATCAACAAATGTAAAGAAATCATGGGACTTAAATATTTTAAATGTTTTTGACGGTCGGATCGGTCTCCTCACTTTAACTCCTCACTTTAACTCTTCATTGTAGAAGCCCAAGGAGCTCAATAAAGAAACTGGGCCAGAAATCCTCTGGACAGGATGGGCCACTGCTTCTGTCGCAATTATGGCTATGGTGACTCTTTCTCAACTGATTTTCAAGACCTAATCCCTACTAGATGTTGACAAATGTGAGAGGTGTGGAAAAAAAGAGGCAGACTGTGCAAAAACAAGACAATAAAGTGCAAGGGTTAAAAAGGGCGAGTTATTGGCGTGACAGAGAAGAGGTTGCAATTTTTCTTATTTATTTTTATTTTTTCATGGAGTAATGGGTAGATGATGTAATTAATTGCAAATAGATAATATCGCTCCACCACAGGTGGTAATCTGAGATAAGTTGGAAAGCACAGGGGGCATGTACATAATTAAGCCAAAAAACAATAAAGAACTTTTTCTTTTCAAGAAGTATTATTTTAAACAAAGTATTCTTACTTGTACCGTTTTAAAAACATATTTTTACTTGTATAGGTTTAAAACCATTGGTAAAAATGCACTATCGAAAGAAAAAAAAAACTCCTAATACGAGGCTTATGCTGTATTACCAAGTCAAGGAGCTCGGAAAGACTATAATGAGGGTTTAAAGTGAGGAGGTTATTTGAGGAGGTCAAATCTCACTATCAACAAATGTAAAGAAATCATGGGACTTAAATATTTTAAATGTTTTGACAGTCGGATCGGTCTCCTCAAATAATCTCCTCACTTTAACTCTTCATTGTAGAAGCCCAAGGAGCTCAATAAAGAAACTGGACCAGAAATCCTCTGGATAGGATGGGCCACTGCTTCTGTTGCAATTATGGCAATGGTGACTCTTTCTCAACTGATTTTCAAGACCTAATCCCTACTAGATGTTGACAAATGTGAGAGGTGTGGAAAAAAAGAGGCAGATTGTGCAAAACAAGACAATAAATTGAAAGGGTTAAAAAGGGCGAGTTATTGGCGTGACAGAGAAGAGGTTGCAATTTTTCTTATTTATTTTTATTTTTTTATGGAGTAATGGGTAGATAATGTAATTAATTGCAAATAGATAATATCGCTCAAATTAATATAGTGGTAAATATAGTATTTTTCCAACAATGATCAAGTTAATCTAGTAAATATTGGAGTGATTTTTGTTTAATTATATTTGAATTAAACAATAAGAGGATTAAAATGACAAAAATATAATTAAGCAAGTAAAATAAGAATAAGTAAATAATGTAAAAGATGAAAACAAAGATGATACAGCACTAGAACACCGATTTCACCTAGCTTAATCCTATCCAAATCCTTCTAACTTGTCAATCTTAATTACCTAACATGTTGATAATCGTAGCCCTAGTAAAAGAAATTAGTTCATGAAAAACTTACAACTCTTATGGCTCTGATACTAGATGGGGGAAATAGAACAAGCAAAAGAAGAAAAGCAATGAAACCGGAGAAAGTAAACAAATAGGACCTTAATCCCCAAAATAAAGAAAGAATATTACTAAAGTTACGAACAAGAGTTTTCCTACTCAAGTGTAAAGGAACCACTTGTGTTTTGCTCACCCAACCAAAAAAAAAAGTAAAGAAAATAAAGAAAACTAAAGTGTTAATTAGGCAATCACAAACATTACAGTTTTCGTTTTCGCACACAACAATATATACAATGTCATTCATACACAAAAATACAAGTCTGGGAGTGAGTCCCCCTACCTGGAATCCAAAGCTAATGCCTCACTTGAATTCTACACCTTTGAACTCAAATTGTTCTTGCTTGGGCAACTGATTCCTAGGCCAACATTTCAAAAATGTTACTAAAAACCCTTATTTGCAATTTAGTCATTATAACTAGCTTTAATTGAACTTTAGTCCTCACACTTGTCAATAATTTCACTTTTGTCCTCATACTTTTCTTTATTTTCACTTTGGCCCCTATACTTTTTCCAATACAATTCAGTCTTCAGACTTATCCATAATTTCACTTTGGTCCTTACATTTTCCTTTATTTTCAATTTACATATACTTATTTTAAATTATCTTTTGGTTCTTCCACTTTCAAATTCGGCTTCGGCCAACAACTCAGACACAAATTTCCAGAAATCAAAGCATCTTAAAACTTTACCTTAATATTGGTCCGAAATCCTACGTGAAGCTCCCAAACAGAAATAACCAATTCAAACAACACTTGAAAACTAACAAAAGCTTGTTTCAGGTGTACCACTGCCGAGAAAGCTACACTTGTTGGACTGCCACTATTTTTGGATATATTGTAGAGAAAAGAATTCTGAACAAGCTTCATGAAGGAAGTATTGTCGTCTGAGCAAGGGAAAAGTGACATACAAGAGTGAATAAGGTACTGTACAGTGATAACAGCAGAATCCGAGGAAGTGACGAACATGCTTACCACAGACATCGCTAGAGTAGTTGGATTGCTCTGATTTTTGGATGTCAAAGTTCTCCAACTGAGGAACAACCTTAGAGAAGGACGTTTTGTCAAACAAGCAATGGAGATTAAAGAAAACTGTTGAAAACCGAGCTGCAGAAAACTCACCAGCCATGGATAAACATAGAAATGTCATAGCCGGTTCGAGGTAGCTAGACCGGTCTGATGATGCTCATGTTTGGGTATGTTATAGTATTCAAACAGAACAGATGAACAACTTTGATGAATGAAGTTTTTTTATTTGAGCTTTCGAAATTGGACTTCTAGAGTGATGAATAGTACCCACGAGTTTGGGTATTATGAAGAAGAAGAAGAAGAAAAAAAAAAGATGAACGTTGGTGGTGATAGGAAAATGAAAGAGAAAAGGAGCAGAAGAAGAATAAAAAGTAAGTGTCGGCAGAATTGACCCAAAAACGAAAAAAAGGCAAAAAGTCACTTTTATTGTGACTAACTAGTATGTTGTTTATTTGGGTGCTTCTTGTTTTGTGTTTTTTTTTTTTTTGGGTTAAACGATGGGAATTCTTATCTTTAATTGTATGTGCATTTGTTTTTAATAAGTTATTTCTGATTGTAAATAATTTCATTTGAAGCACCTGTGCTTCAGGCTGTCATGCCTGGAGAAGAACGATCTTGTGATGTTGCTAAAGGAGTGCAGAGAGCTTGTGCTTCTGGATGTGAGGGAGTGCGAGGGTTTTGATGAGCGTGATGAGGAGATTTTGAAGCTTGTTTCTCATATTAGGTGTTGGAAACCTAATTTGATTTTTACAGTATTGCATCTCTTGATCTGCTCAGATGCAGCATGGTTTGTTGCACCACGACGATTACACTCGCTATCGGTATATTCATAGTCATTTAGTTTAGTTTAATTTCTCTTTTATTGTTTTTCATGTATGATTTATAGATTGTATTTGCAAAATGTGTGGCCAAGGGTGATATTTGCAGATTAAGTTTAATTATGGGTGGTATTTAGTGGTATTTCCCTTTAACCTAAAAGGTAAAGCATGGGAAAGACATGTGGCCAATTTTAAAGAGTGCTGCTTTTTCTACCCCTTTATCTTATTTCTCCACCCACCTTATCTTCAAAATTTTAACTCTTCCCAAATTTGAAGTTAGTTTAAATTCCTCAGTTTCTATCTACGCAGACAACTCCCAAACTATTGTTCAGTATTTAAATTCATACTTTGATTATGGATTATTTACAAAAACAATGGTGGGATGCACCATAAAGGATATTTTATGAATAATGGTGGGTAGAAAAATAGGATTATGTTTTTGCAAATTTATATGGTGGGTGGGAAGATAAGGTAAGTGGGAAAATAGGACAGGTGGGTGAAAATAACAGCACTCATTTTAATATGAGATTAGAGGAAGAAAAGGAGGTGTGGAACCAAAAAAGGAGAGAAAATACTGCTGTGAGAAGATAGCACAAAAGTAAGGGAGACCACCGAAAGAGAGGAGTGGACTCGGGACCGAGAGGGAATAAAGATCAGAAAAGGTAAACAATGACAAAGAGAGAGTGTCTACGAGGAAATAGACAGAGAGACAAAGGGATGAATATTGGTAGGTAGGGTAGTAGATGTTGACAAATGTGAGAGGTGTGTAAAAAAAGAGGCAAATTGTGCAACACAAGACAATAAAAGTGAAAGGGGAAAAAAGGGCAAGTTATTGGCGTGAAAGAGAAGAGGTAGCAATTTTTCTGCATTTATTATTATTATTTA